TTAAATCATTTGTAAATGATTTATATATTATGAGAGATACTAATATAAGTTAAAAATAATTTTTGAAAATTATTTTCTGATTTTTAAAGAAAAAGCCAAGAATAAAGAAAAAAATAAATAAATTGTGGATTTTTTTTTATTTTGTTGAATCTTAATTATTTGAAGCATCTTAATTTTTATATTAATGGTGGTTAATTTTTATGATATTTATGCATTTATTCAGCTGAAAAATTTAATAACATTAGTCAACTAAATTAAAAATTAAGAGTGGGACATAATTTGGTATATTTGTTGAAGAAAATAGTATTTAAATGATATTTAATCATTTTGGTGAAGTTTGTCCCCTAAAAATTTTCCTATAAATAGGAGCATTCATCGATGGTAGAATAACACCTTAGAAATTCAGATTTTTATGTTATAAGAGAAAGATATTGTAAGAATCGAGTTTTTACGAGAGGAATCGAGCAATTTCGAGGAAATCATGTTGCATTTGCTTTGTTTTCTCAAGATTGTATGTTGTAGAATTTTAATCAATTATAGTTAAGAATTATAAGTGTTTATATGTATTTTTAATATGTTATCATGTTAAGAAATTATAATTTTTATATATATATAAGTATATGAAATAAGATTATAAAGTAAGTTCAACTAAAGTTCATGTTGTTGCAGCATATGTTTGCTTGTTTTTGACCAAGGTATTGAATTTCAAAAATTATGAGAATTTTTATATGAGATCATCATTATGTTGAGAATAATACTGTAAATTATTAGATTATTTAGAGTTAAAATGAATTTTATAAATCATTAATTAAGGTGTTGTCCACTGAAAAATCTGTTGACTTGTGGTATTAAATTACCTTACTTTTTGATATTATTTTGAGTTGAGAATTTTATGGTAAATTCATATGTAAGTTAAGAACTTTCAGTTTAACTCATATTTATTGGACTTGTGTAACATGCTATAGAAAATAATGAACTTAAGTGAGTTGTTTGTCCCATTTTTGTTGCATTTTTCCTTGTTATTTTTCCTTTATTTTTCCCCTATATTAGGTCTTTTAGTTAGTTTTTAGTCTGTTTTGTCTTTTATTGTGTGTTTCTCTCTATTTTGGTTTTTCTTATGTTTTCCGTGTGTTTTTCTATTTGTCTTTGTTTATGGTGTGTTGGTCCGGAGCTTCGGGAAAACCGAATTATGGGCAAAAGCTGACCGTGCAAGCATAATCAAATAGAGCATTTCGTTGACAGTACACAGGAAAAAAAAGAGAATCAAATTCAGAGTCTGAACAAGCATAAACGAGCCCGAGACACGAAGAAGGACGAGCTGCCCAGGCGTCGCGACGCCCGCCACGAGGCCGACAGAGACCCCAGCTCCTAACGTGCCGCGCCGTGAAGAGTGCCGCGCCGTGAAGCCCGCTCCCTGCCACGCCGCGTTCGTCCCCGCGCCGTGAAGGACCAGTCTGCCGCCACGCCGTGCCATGCCTTCGCTCCGCGGCGCATGGTTCCTTCGTGCTGCGGTTGTTCCTCACGCCGCGACCATAGACACCTCTCATGCCGTGGAGCAATTCCCGAGACCCATCACGCGCCATCAGAGAGCTCTGCACAACTCCTCGCGCCGTGAAGATCCTCGCGCCGCGCTATTCCCCTGTCTCTCGCGTAGTGCTTGAATCTGCCACGCCGTGTCATATACTATATGTTCTGTACAAATTGTTATTTTTACTGAGTACCGAATCAAAAGAGTTGTTCCCCGGGTCGATCTCACAAGGAAGGCAATCTGGAATTTAGTTCTGATATCGATAGTACATAAAAAGAAAATAAATCCTAAACACTCTAATCAGATAAGGTATTTGAATAATTACTAACTAAGGAATAATAAAAAGCAATGATCTACCTGAAAATGTGAACAAAACAAGATGGAGAAGCTAGGGAATCGGGGATAATTAATTCAAGTTCTACTCGCACACCGGGACATGAATCATTCTATTCTAGATTGACGCTCTCACTTAAACTTCTAGTGGTTCGCTCCCAATAACTCTTCGTAACAAGGGATTGAACATAGATGAACAAACTCGAGCATACGACACATGCAAATTATCCCAATCCCAATAACTTTTCGTAACAATGGACGGGTCATCGACAAGCACGTCTTTCAACCCAAAACCATAGATGATTCAGTTACGAAATTATCTATCTCATGCAAGCCTAGGTCTACGACTTCTCCACTTTCGGTTCAAAAAGCCGCTCAATCAATTAGAAGAGTATTAATCAACTAACCATATAGAATCGACAAACTCTAACTCGACAAATTAACATCCAACTGTCACCAATAGCAAGGTTGAAATGTCACTTTTCGATTATATCAATTTATCGAGCAAGAATTCAACAATTCTAAATGAACTCAACCCACACAAGAACGAACAATTCAAGCCCGAGAGATACAAATTAAACCAGAATAATCATTCTTCTATCCCCAACGATAAGATTTAACTACAAATATCAAATTTAACAATCATAATCAATGCTCTCAAATTATCATTATTCATGAATCAAATAAGAGAAATGAATAATTACAATCAATCCAAATTCCAAGTTGAAGTCGTAATACAAGTGATATAGGATATTATACCGACAAGGCTAAACTGGTCTGCTAAACCGGCCGAAGAGGTTGTACCGTGAAGAAGCCGAGCCAAGTGGCGGGAAGATCGACCAGACAACCAGTCGACCAGTCAAGCAGTCAAGCAGTTGACCAGTCAACCAGTTGACCAGTCAAGCAGTCGACCAGTCGACCAGTCAACTAGTCGATCAGTCAAATCGACCCCATTAGATCGACCATTCTATGGGTTGGTAGTATTCTGGAGATCGGCCTAGTCACAGGCGCGTGAAAGAGCCTCCAACTGAATTTCAGGAGAATATTCATAGGGATAATCATCCCATGTGCAGAGGACGTGGCGAAAATGCATTGGTTGACAGAGTACGGACGGGCAGCTGGGGCAGCCAGCTCATCAAGTCCGGGCAGCCATTAGGTCAGGTATCTCACCCCTATATAAAAGGGGGGTGAACCTTTCTTCCTTAACACGATTTCCATTATTCAACTCAAGTATACTCATACACACACTTACTTAAGCATCAGAGGCTCTTCAGCGGAAAAACCCCTGGTGTGAGAGTTATTGGCAGGTTTCCGGCGTTCTACCAGCAAGGACAAAGGCGATCTATTCAAAATCAGGCCAGGACGCTCACGCTTGCATTATTAGCACCGTCTGTGGGACTTTTTTGTTCGAAAAGTTGTGTTTGAAGCTTCTTCTATTTTACCCATGCTTGTCTCTAGAGATTTGGAACTTCTTTATCAAAGCATTCTCGAGTGACGGCTGAAGGTACGAGATTTGGTACCTACATTTGTTTCGGGAAGAGGGCTTCGTTCAGCTATTTCGTACGGAATTCCCAGAACCAACTTGCAGTCGACTTCGATGACGCTTGGACGACGACCAGGCCAATTGGGCAGGGCCCTCCTCCGGGTTTCTCTGGCCTTTCACAGACGCCGGTTACTCCTACACCTGTTCTTCAAGGTGTGGGAGCATCGACGGCGGTGCCCAGAGGAGACGCGAGCTCCAGTCGTGGCCAAGAGGCTCGTGCAGCAGCCAAATCCGGTGGTGTGCAACCAGGAGGATTGGCGGTGCAGGAAGGAGCACCACCGCCGATGGATGTACAGGTCCCTGGTCAGTAGATGGTGGCGATGACCAGAGAGAAGATGCAAAGGATGGTGGCGGCCGCGGCGGCGCAGGCTGTCCAGCAAGCCACAAACCATACATCTCAGGCTACGACTGCGCCGACCACGATGGTAGGAGGCCAAGAGGAGAATGTATCCAGCTATGGAGATGGAGGATATGTGAGGGATCGTGCGATGGAGAGGATGGCGAAGCAGTTACGCCAGTTGCAGGATAAGGTTGAAGGGAGGCCAGAAAGGAGAGCCCGAGGACATCCTTTCTCGAGGGAGATTCTTACGGCACCTTTGCCGAACAATTTTTAGGAGACCACAACGTGGTGTTTGACAGGTCATATTATCCGTCGAGGCATGTGCGAACTTTTGACAATATGGCTGTGTTGCATGGATATTCTGATTATGTGTCTTGCAGGGCTTTTTTATCGACCTTGCGGGGAGAGGCGCTCGATTGGTTCCATCAGCTGCCCCCGGGGTCGATCGCTGATTTTGAGGACTTCGCAAGCAAACTCACCAATCAGTACTCGAGCGCGGTGGCTCAAGAGAAGACGTATTTGACTTTGATGGCGATGAAGCAGGGAGAGAATGAGTCGTTAAGGAAGTATGTTGCTCGATATAATCAAACGTGTTTGGAGGTGCACTCGACGACTGATGAGGTGAAGGCGGGAAGATTGATAAGGAGTCTTCGAGTGGAGCTGTAACGCCCCATTATTTTAATAGGAAAATACCGAATTATTTTTCAAAAAATCAGAGTTAAATTTTCGAAAATCAATTTAAAAATTTATTTAACGGGCGCTACTCCAAACACTACACATATCAACAGTTAAGATTACACATAACAAACAGGGAACAACTATTCCGACCGTAATTTATCTCATGTTAACATTCAAGGTACTTCAATCGATATTCAAAAATAATCCGATAGTCATAACACTATCGAATCCGAAGTTCAAATTTCAAAAACAAACACGGTTCAATTTCCAGAAAAACAATATTAATCATACTAACAAGAGATAGATACTAGATATAAGCGGAAGCAAGCAAAATAGTTCATTAGCACATATATATATGACCCGCCTCGCTCGTCCTTCGCCACAACCACCAGCTCAGCCTGAAAAGAGATATTATAGCGGGGGTGAGCGAACACTTGCTCACCGTGGGAATGCCATGAAGTATAATCAATATAAAGACTTAAAATCATAATCGTAGCATGAACACAAATCGACTAGTCTACCCTCCCTAAACACAGCCTACGCTCATGTGATCACACCTAATCCGTCAATACAACAAAGACCGGATTACCTGTCAATACAACAAA